CTGACCCACCCAGCGGTGTGGTCAGGTCCCAGTTCAAACCTCTGTTGTCACCTCAACAGTCTCCCCTGAAACCTGCCACGGTGACAGAAAATATTCCAGAAATGGTGTGAGAGATCATTCTGGAGAGTTCTTAGCTATTGTATACAGTATGACTTTGGGACTGTACCCATACTGATATTAAAACATCAATACCACAACCAACAGACAGTCAATGGTGCTCCTGAATGACGGAAGAAGTAAAAGGCACTCCTTAGATCTAAGACTGAGCTGTATAATCCAGATGTTAGTGCAAGCATGAGTCTTGTCACTAGATGACAACGGCCAGGATTCTCCAAAGCATGGTGTATACGTGACAGAGAATTGGTGTAAATGAGATTACTCTGCAAGGACTCTCCTGACTTTCCATAGACCCTGTGACTTTCTGGGTGTTACGGATGTCGGAAGGGACGAACCATGGAGAGGCAGGAGAGCGGAAAAAAACCCATATGCGTAGCGGCGGAACAGGGGTTAGCCCGGGATCAGCAGTTCAGGAGTCATATAGAAACTAATGCCCTCAGGCAGCAGACGTGGGGTGACCTGGATGCTAGACGTGTCTCAGGACATCCAAACGTCAATGGTGAATGAGTGAACTGGAAATATATTGCCCCAGAGAGAGAGACACCGGAAGGACAGGAAAGCACAGGAAACTAGGGACAGGATAGAGTAGGAGCGCCCTCTAGCTGCAGAGGGCATGACAGTACCCCCTCCCCCACACACACACACTTCATTGGCGGCTCCTGACGCCCATACAAATAAGTGAGCTGCACAGCACTGGGGGGAAGAAAAACCTAATTTAACAGAAAGGAAACCTCGATGAGTCCACAGCTGAGAGCTACCTCCTCCTCCAGGGTATAAACCTTTATTGGGTAGAGGAATGGAGGGTCAGGTAGAGCTTCGGAGACTTAAAACAAAAAAGACAAGTACACAAGCACAAACCACAACAAAGATAAACCTGGGAGACCAGGTAAACAAACCACACAGGACAGGGGGACCAGAGAAAAGGGGAAACCAGGAAGTAAAAATTCAAAACATAAAGCAAAAAACAAGAATAAGAACACAAAAACCAGGGAAAAATTCCACAGACTGGGCAATAGGCACGTTCACATTCTATCACTGATATCAGAGTGGACAACCCGAGGAAAGCCAGACCGTAGCCCGCTCACAGGCACGGATGTCCGGAGTGATATCCAGCAATTAGAATGGGAGAGGAAAAAAACCTCACCACCTTATCACTAATATCGGAGTGGACAACCCGAGAAAAACCAGGCATACGGCCCTCTCACAGGCACGGATGACCAGAGTGATATCCAGCAATGAGGATAGAAGGGCCAGCTCAACATTCAATCACGGATGCCGGAATGACAACCCAGGGAAAGCCAGGCCGAAGCCCGCTCACAGGCACAGGAGTCAGAAAAAGCATCCCGAGATTAGAATAGGAGAGCTGAGAGAAAGAAAAAAACCCAGAGAAAAAGACAAAAACAAAAAAGCGCCGCTCGCGGGGTCAGTAGAAGGCTCAGCATTCTGTCACAGATGTCGGAAGGGACAAACCGTGGAGAGGCAGGAGAGCAGAAAAGACCCATATGTGTAGTGGCGGAACAGGGGATTAGCCCGGGATCAGCAGTTCAGGAGTCATATAGAAGCCTATGCTCTCAGGCAGCGGACGTGGGGCGACCTGGTACGAGGCGGGTCTCAGGACATCCGAACATCAATGCTGAGCGAAGGTGAATGAGTGACCCGGAAATATATAGCCCCACCGGAAGGACAGGAAAGCACAGGAAACTAGGGACAGGACAGAGTAGGAGCACCCTCTGGCTGCAGAGGGGGTGACACTGGGGACCTGCTGGCTTGTGGTGATGACATCAGTGAGAGACACATTCATCTTCTACTCAATAATAACTCTCCTGTCAGATACCACTGTCAGATCCAGTCAAATAACAAATGGATCTGCAAGTGAGTGCAGCACAGTGGAGGACATACTATTATATTATATCTTTACTAAGAGACATTTCATGTCTCTTTGTCACCTAAGTGGGTACCAAAGTCCCAAAGGTTCCACTGCCAGGAACCCATCTTATAAAGCCATTGGGCTTCATTTAAAAATAAATAAATAAATCACCACCACATGTTGTGTGCTCTGATAAAGGACACAGTAGTGGAAAGAGGTAGAAAGCCTCTAAAACAAAACAGCCTCTAAAGTGGTTGAGTGCATATTGAGCTCTATAGTTCTGGGTTTATTGGCTCGAATCTGAATTTGTGTTATTTGCCAGCTGTGGTACTGTTTCCAAAAGGGGCGACAACAACTGGTCACACACTACTAGGACTTCCTTGGCTTGTGTTCAGTGGCAGACCCGTATGGTCTCATGGTGTGCATTATCATCACTGAAAACTCCATCCATCTTCTGCTCAGCTTCTTATGCAGAAAGTCAGATGGTACACATCCAGGGAGAGGTAAGGAGGTTGGAAAGGATGTTGAAAAGAAATACAGTAAGTTGATTACAAATTGGTGGCTGGCAAATTGAGAGGGTGTATGAAAACGTTTCGCCATTCTAAAAACCAGAAATGGGGAGAAGACCACTAAGAAGAAGCAGACAATTGCTCGCTCATCTTAGCTCAGGCTCCATTCAGTTTAATAACGACATGGTTTCTCACACATGGTAATAAATCAATAAGTGTATTTAGGCTCAACATCCACTTTGGGATACAGTTAGTCTGATGGAATCTACTGATTGTAACTGATTGTATTTGCAATGAGCAGCCTGGCCTGTGCATATAACTTAATGTAAAAGATCATAATCTTAATGGAGCTTTTGTATTAGACGAATCAATAAATAAGCATGAAGCTCACTGGCAAAATTTTTCCATGTGTTGAGGTCTCAGCAAACCACTGGAAAAACATGATAGAATGGAAGTCATGTGTACCGGATTTGCTGCGGTCTTATTAGGCTTGACATGGTGAACCAGAAACAGGCTGTGCCTGCAGGGACCGTCTTGTGATTCCCTGCCACTTTCACAGAGATCCTATAAGCTGTGGAATAGCAAAGCGAATCCTCTGCTCTATAACTGCAGATGAACAAAGGTGGATGATATTCTATTGTAAACAGAATCCAAACAAAGAGAACAATCCCCAGCACAGAAAGATCCTTTTATTAATGTGTGAATTTCAGTCTCTCTCAATGAATTGCAGGCCTCTCTACTCTCAGAAGCAAAAACAAAACAAATGCTAATTTATGCCAAAAAGCAAATTATCACAGATCCCTTGACAAATGAGCAAATGAGGTAGAAATTTCCTCTCTTTTACAACCCTTTCTCTTCTGTAAATGTGTCACTACCGACAGTGGAATAAGAATTAAAATTATTCATTCATTTGTGTTTGACACAATTAAACTTCCTTTCCTTTGGGATGGTGCTTTGCTGTAAAAGCCCTCCTCTTTTCGAGGCAGAAGTAGGATTTCATTTGCTCCTAGCCAGTTCATCTGTCACTAGGCAGAAAACCGACACTGCCTGCTAGCCGTATCATTTTATTCAGCATCCAAGGCTTTCGCACTTAATCTCAGCTTTGTAACAATTTTTTCATCAGTTACTGTAAAAAAAAAAAATAGGTCATCCCATTGACCTACTTATGATCTTCATGAAAAATCTAGCTTTTTTTCCCCCTCACTTATTTGGCTTCTCTAAATGTATGCTTTAATATTTAATGTTTGAAACAGCTGAAGGCATTCTTTGAATTTTTAGTTTGAACTGGTACTCAGAATTCCTTTGCTCCTGTTCAAACAGCATTAGCAGGAGAGAAGAAAGGAATGTCATGAAAGTAAACCAAGATGACAGAAAATATGCAATCAGTGCAGTGTTCATTATAGCTGCATATTCTGAGGAATATTTCGAATGAGCATAAACCAGTGGGTTAAGTCTAATGTGTTCTGTGAACATAATATTCACAGCTCATTTCAAAATATTATATATTTCACTATAAAAGAAATACAGCTTTCTATTATAACCATGCAATGAAATCTTGAATGAATATATACAGTATGATTTCTTAACAGGTTGACAATAAATAGGTCTGAAGTTGCTCTTTGCAGAAAAGGATGTTTTTTGTTTACAAATTGCAATACCTTCTGCCTTGTGTGCAGCCCTTAGAGTTGGGCTTCCTTTCCTTTTGTTCAGTGATAATCTGGAGATGCTATTCGATGCTGGACATTAAAAGCTATTACATTCTGCATGGAAGTAAGTGGGCCCTGAAAAGTGCTGATAAAGACATTGGTAAGCAACTGCTACAGATTTCTGCTGAGCGAAATTCAGCACTAACAGCACTAACATCTCTCTGTACCAGCAAGTAGACCATCAGAATTCAACCCCAAACCCAAAATTAATGATGCGTAAATCCATACATACTGTAAATGCTCTGTGAATACTTAAGTTCTCAATGTCAAAATGTGCCCTTGTGCTGGATGACAAATGAAACCAAATTATGTTCTACACCACACATTTTAATTTACATTTAATTTTGAAAGTAAAGGCCTGTCACCTTAATATATGACGCAGGAAGGGATGTTGACAAAAACAATAATCTATTTCAGTGTACTTGTCCTGAGCTGTTCCAAATAATCATCATCATCCTCATCATGATCATGATCATGATCAAGATCATCATCAGCTAGTAAGTAATGTAAGAATGAAATAATTTCTGGGCAAACATATTTGAGAGCTTCAGTCTGAAAAGCATTATTTTTTTTTATTCTGAAAAAAAATGAAACTTCAGTAACCTTACTGAAGACCATCATAGGAATCTCTCGTTTTGTGAACTCATTTTGAATTCAAACATGTTCGACCCAACCCATTGAGAGAATGAACTCTGCATTTGTGAGAACAGTTACTATATTATTATTAATCTAGAAGAACAATCTGAGTCAATTACTTGCTTCCTAAATCTGGAGTCCCTGTGAATTACAGAATATTGTTACCTTTTTATTGCTTCTTCCTGTCTTCGCTTTTTCTCACTTTTCTCCTGCAGATAAGCCAAGTTTGTTTCGTTTCGCACACGGTCATTCTCCCTGGCAATGTCAGAGGCGTTCTGTATGACCAAACCATCGTAGGCTTTCAGCCCACTGTCTTCAACATATTGGAAAAACCTTGTGAAAGTGGCTTCCTCTTCTTTTGAATTCATCGTTCTTCAAAGGCAGGCAAACAGATCTTCCTGGAAGCAAAGAGGAATAATGATGAACAAGATGATGACAGCAGCAACACCAACAGTATAATTAATCACATAAAACAAATTGTTAACAGCACATCTGTTAGGAAACACATTTAAAGACAAAGATTATAGATAAAAAAATTACCTTGGTGTGCATGCATTATGGCCTGTTTTTCATGCATTGTATTACTTGAGTTTCCTCCTGTTGCATTCCATGCCAAGTAACACAATCATAGAAAAACTACATAGTGAGTCTCATTCATATTCAAAAACATTGCAGTGTTTTGGAATGTGGAAACATGTTTGAAAAGACATACTGTGTTAAGAGAGGATTTATTTATCCTGTTGTCTGAAGTGTGCTGGTTTCAAATGAAGAATCTCTCTGAGTGTAATAGTTGCATCATGCTAAGAGAACATTTCATCATGCTAAGAGCAGATCGGATCTCCTTTGTTGTTCCAGTAAATAACATATTAATGATAAATATAATTTGGGTTTAAACTAAGAAATTAAATATATATAATTAAATTTAAAAAAATAGTTTAGTACATACACTATACAGTATGTACATATGCTAAATATATTTATAAAACCACTGTTGTCTGTTTAGAGTCATTTGAAATAATCTGTTTAAACAACTTTTAAGTTTTTAGGTTCAATAAAAAATGTGCTAATCTATAGTTATAGTTAAGAATGCTGCCATTTTTTATTACTTCTTTTAAATTCAGGTCAAACCCTAAGTTGATACAGGCTATCACATGCATTTCTGTATCTGACCAAGCCAGTGTCTTAGTTTTAATGCTAAAAAGTAGATTTTTCTATGCATTAACTGGTTTATGCATTTGTATACTATTTGCAGCTTTTTCTTTTGTAGATATTGGCACTGTGTTTGGAGCAGTGCCAAACTTCGATACAAGGGGCTTGTTCAAGAACAGCCTATTGTCTGCTACAAACAGTGTTCTCTGCGCTTGTCTGTCTGTGCTACAGAATTGTTTTTAACCCAGCTCCATGCACAATCAAGTACTTCCTGGTGCTGCATGACATCTGTGACTATGTGTCGACATTATCTCCACAGAGATGTTGTTTCATTCTCAAGATGTTCTTGGTCTGAGAAAAGGATTTATTCTTGTTGATGTCAAACGACTTAAGAAAATCAGAAATTCTCCTTTTAATCCCTAAACCCATCCCCTTGTTTATGCCTGGCCTGGAGGCATTTCCCCTAGTAGCCTGCTGGTGCTTTCTGGAGTGGAAATAATTTTGTTTATCTTGTTTTCGGCAGAGTTCCACCCAAACACTTCAGTCCCTCTGAGCTTTTCTGCAATTTAAACACCTCCACGTCTATCCCAGATATTTCTGATAGCGGTTATATTTATATGTGTTTAATTGAAAGATGTAATTAATAACAGGTAAGCCACAGTATCTAGGCAACAGTCCCTGAAATACAGGATGCCACAAGAAGTGTGAGCTTAATTTTCTGGGCATCTCAACAAGCTTTAGAAAGCCCCACTGCTGGGTATCCTTGGAAGCAGTGACTTCATTATTGTGAAGTTACTTACAAACATCAGTAAGTGCAGGATTAAACAAGCGTACTTACCAAATTAGATGACTCTATGGAGACCCTTGAAGTGCAATTGAAAATTGGTTAATTTCTTCTTGGCAAAGCCCTTGCTGCAGTTTTACGATAGCACAGGTAGAAAAGAGATGTTTCAGCACCATTAGAAACTGGCCAATCCTTGGCTATTGTGTTAATAATTAAAATACTTCACTTGAAAGTGCATGTTTTCGGGTACAGAAAGCTTTGAGGCGCTCCTTTGAATCCCATGTTGGTGTAAACTGGACAATTGCCACCTTCATGTCTTTGAGTCCGCAATGTAATTCCAACCCAATGGGCTGCTGATCTCAACAATGTAACGCTGCAAAAACTGGGTTTCTTTAATCTGCCGTTGCAGAAACCATGGAGCAGCTGCAAACTGTGCCCAGCCTGGATGTCCAGTGAATAGGCAGCTGGATGCTTCCTTTCCACTTTACCACACAGCAGAGAACAACATGATCAAATGCAGGCTCACTTTCAAGCGTCATTTGCACATGGTCTTTTTAAAAGCACAAACCATCGCCTTTGCAAAACAAATGTGCATTCTTGCCACACATCTTGCTTTTCACCTTCTTCCTCTGCTGCTTCTGTTTTCGTGTTGTTTTTTTTAACGTAGACCTCCTTAAAGCATTCCCCCTTAGGTGCAGAAGGTTGGGAGCCGTCTGTTTTGTGGTATCATCCCTCCCCCGTGACCACTACAGACAGGCTTGCGATCTTCAGCTGCCTCAGTCTGTCAGAGCTGCAGCAGCAGATTAATCAGGGATTCTGAATTGTAAATCGCGAGACAAAGAGCAAGCCTACCTTCAACGAAGCAAATCTCATCCTTTTTACTCTCCCTTTCTCCGTGTTGCAAGCTGTCGGCATTTACCAGCCCACTCAGACAGCATTCCAGGACCACGGACAGCTCCCGACTAGGCCAGTCTGTGATATGGGGGAGAGAGGGAGGAAAGCAAATGAAGCCGCAACCACCACACAAGCAGGAGGAAGGCAATCTCATTCCACTTCAGTTTCCAGCTCCCAGGGGTGGAGGACAGCGTTACAGCCTCCTGCCTTGGCAACAGCCCTTCTCCTGCCTTTATCTGTACAGCCAAAAATTCTGACTAGCAAACAAGACGGCAGGGAGCACAGATTGCTTGCCGTGTGCGTGTCATTTTTACAGCAGTGTGGATCTAGCAAGTCGCTGATGTGCATGAGCCACCACTACCCCCCACCCCGATTGCAAAGCAGTAAATAAAATATTGATTTATATACAGAAAATATCTCTTAAAGCCTCAACTGAGCAATTCTTGTGCGTGTGACATCCCTCACTAATGTGCGCCCGAACAATGTGGTATTCTTCAATTGTTGCTGACGCAAGTTAGGCAGTTGTTACTGAGATGAAGGAGGAGCTCTTTTCTTTGACCTTATCAAATCAACCTGGCACTGCCACCTGTTTTCAGGTCACTGACACCTCTCAGCCACAAGAGCTGTTTTGTTGAGTTGCTAAAATCGGGGGCCAGATGCAAGAGCTTGTTGCCTAATCATACTGAGTGCATGCAGAATGATGGAGTACCTTTGAAGTGCACCCTGATGCATGCTGTGCACGATTCTCTCCACCCTGATTTTATCCTAGTCCCTGGGAGCCCAGCATACTCAGTCTCTGCTAAAAAGGGTGCTTGAAATGAATGCCTCTGAATGGAGGCCCTGTAAATGGACTTTCGAAGAAGAAGCTTTTGTGTTCTACAGCCAAAGCCTTTGAGACTGCGTCTTGACACTTTGTGACATTGAAGGCAACAGCTTCACCACGTGCCCCACAAAACTCTTAAAAAGCTAAAAACACTATCAAGCCCAGCAAGAAATAGCAAAATGGAAACAGTAGAGAAAGTAATAAAAGTAAAATATATCGATGTCGTTACTACGCAGATGCAACAGCAGTACACTAAATACTATATTAGGCTCATTCTACACACCTGTCTGTGTTCTCTGATTTCTTCTAATTGACAGTACCAAGACTGACACCACAGATAACTGACCTGGTTTATGAGCAGCGGGATGATCTAGCAGTAGGCCTCATGCTCTCTTCAATTACTGTCCCTGTTCCTCTTTATCACAGCTTATAAGGAAGACAAATCCCATTACCCAAAGCAAGGGCTCTCATGCAACACACAGGGAATTGAAAGCCAGGAATATATGGAAAATGACAGTGGACTTGTTGGAAACAGTTCAGGGATTATAGACGCTAAAAAGTTTTGGAGGGTCCATCCCCAGTATCTGCTGCTTCACATGTTGGCTTAATTGAGTTTGTGTCTGAGTTTCAAAGAAAGCATCTGTCTGGGCCAGTCCATCAATCAGAGAACGGGAGAATGGTGAAGTCACTGCTGTGTCCCTCCCCGCTGTATTACATCACTGTCCTCTGTTAATTACCACAATGTTCTTGACAGGCTTCTGTAAGGGTGGCGGTTGCAGCTGGGGGTTTAATTTAATATGAGCTTGAAGTTAAACATTGAGCAGGCAGACCATCCCCCCCAGGGCATTACTGTTTTTCTGTTTAAAAAAGAAGCAGCACTATTCCCCTGCCATTCTTCTTTCTGAACGTCTGTTCAGATGAATTTTTAAATCTGTTATTTTTCAATGGTTTTGCTTTGGAGGTGGGCCATTTCATATGAATTTATAGCATCTGTTTTGTTAGGAAGCCGTGCAATATTTCTATCACTTTACGTTTTAATTGATTAAATTGAAAGCTGTAGTGTGCAGAACACAGACATTATTTGTAATTGGCTGATGAGGCTGGGGGAGGTAGGGCATCAAATAAAGGGATAATGCTCTGGCTTCAGTTGGGTTTCAATACATGCAAGTAGTAAAAAATGAGACATTAAAAAAAATAAGAAATAATTCATTAGGAGTAATTCAGGTTCTTCAAAACAATGGGCACTCAGCAGAGTTAAACTAAATTAGTGGTATCTTGGGAACTTAGAAATTATATGTCCCCAGTTTGGAAAAGAGCGCACATTTGTTTCATAATTCACACATCATGTTTCCCACATGCCATTCTGTGACATACAGTACATCTTTATTTACATCTCAGTAGAAGATTACTCCAGCAGAAAAAATAACCTCTGTGTAGTTCATGAGCATTGCTTTTGAGAGCTGACAGTACGCACACCTAATGATATGATAAATTCTGAAACTTAATTGCGTTTAGACAAACAGCTTTTAGAGGCTGGTGAAGAACTGGATTTAGAATTTTCCTTCCAATGAACTATGGAGCTCTTCTTTCTTTTGCAAGGCTGATACACAATACAAAAAGAGCAGCCCAGCTGCCAGTAAAGGTTGGGTAGAATAGAGTCCTTTGAAAATATTTGTTGTGCTGGTAACCAAGAACCCCTGATCGGCCATTGCAGCCAGATCCAGACGTCAGCTGTGCTGTTGTGAGTTCAGTTTGCAGGGCTGGACGGAGTGATAAAGGAAATAAGCAGAAATGGGGAAAGTGAGTAGACATGAAGAGCAGGGGAAATCACAGAGGGTAACAAACACCACCAGTGAATGGGGAAGACAAGAAGGGAAGAGGAAGTGTTGAGGAAAGGGCTTAATTAAACATCAATTATGAGAAACAGCTGAGGAATGAAAGAAAAGTCATGCAAATCACAGCAGCTTGACGGATGTGATAGAGCATTTCAGCTTTGGTGCCTAATGATGCACAATAAAACAAACATTAATAAATACTCCTGCTAGAAAAAACAAAAGTGCACTAAAGCAGCATTACAGCTGGGGAAAAGAGCAAAATGAAACAGCGGAGCATCCAACATGTTGTTAAGGTTACCAAAAAAATATTTAAAACTCCTCGTAATGTGCCAACAGACCAGCAGTATCTCTAGCTCCCTAGCATCAATTCCACCTTAATGGGTTGACATAGTTCACAATTTAAAGAGCTTCTAAACAGAGATAAAGAACATATAAGCTTGTAAAAATAAAGACTGCTACTGTTTTAGAAATATTATTATCAAAACAAAGTTGTCCAACTTTCTCTTTGGTGCTCTAAAGGCCACACAGAATCAGAGAACAATTTCACAAGAGGAAATATTTGCCTTGCCTTGGGTCTGCATGGTTCACTGGAGCTATTCAAGATTGCAAGCAAGCAGCTTTTATAAGGTAAGAGGGCAAATCACCACATAAATGACAGTGAAAGAGCGCTGACTTGTTCTTTTGTGTCTATTCAATAGGGACACTATTAGTGTTATGATACTACTGTATAGCCTGGTTTTTGATAAAAGAGATAGAGACAACAGCATAAAATATGTAACAATACAAATTAACTTTGAGAATGAACAGCTACAAAAATTATTATACCTTACTATTTTTTAAAGGTTTGGTACCTCAGTGAGCAGTTCTGTGGCAAAAGGCAATTATTCGTGCTCAAAGTATAATCATTGCACGCTGACCTGAGTTGTATTTTAAGATCGACAGCTCTAAAATAGTCCTTCATCATCAGAGTCAGAAAACCTTGGCAAGAAATTAGTTTCCTGACTTTTGCTGCATATAATATTCCCAGGACAGTAGATGAAGTTTCAATGTAGTACTGTATAAAGAAGGAAAAGATATTCTACAGAAAGTGGTTTAATTTTATTATTTGTCTTGTATCTCCATCCAAGCTTTCATAATTCGTCATGATTATGTCATATACGTTTATTATAAAGCCTAATTTTCATAATTTTTTATTTGTTGGTGATGATGAGTGCATTTGTAGTATTTCAATCATTCTAACCCTATTAGACTAGTCACAATTCACTGACTTGCAGCCTTGATTCAAATCAAAGGATGTATTTCCACTATTTATGATGGAAGGTTAATGCTATGTTCTCTATATTTCCTTTGAGTACAAAGCATGATGGGGAGAGAACATTCTCATCTGTTTTAAAAGTTATAACTATGCAGATCTGTTTTCATGCCATACTCAGAGACAAGAATAATTCTCTAATGTGGTCTGTTTGGACCACAAACAACAGTACTCCTACGTTTTTGTGTGTGGGAGAGGTAATGGAAATATAGCATTTAGCACCTTATTTTGTAAATGCTAGAAAAATTGTAAAATGTTGACTCAAACTTTAAAAGTTTTTTACATGTCTTTGAAGTTTGTATGTTTTTTTACATAATAAAATATTTTTTTTCTTTTTTATGTAGTAATAGCTTCACAAAACAGAAAACCTTCACACAAGTAAAGTCCAAATTCTGCAATATTCTAAAACAGTACTGTTAAAGTCTGGTCCTAGACACCTATATTCCCATGATCCAGTTGTCTTTAATTCCTCGGTTCTTAGTTCACTTTATCAACAGAAAATATAATAGGATGTAAACCAGAAGCTTCCTCTGACTCTTGAAGAGAAGTCAATTAGGAATCTTTTGTCCTGCTAATCAGCCAGGTTGGCGACATCCAATCGATCAATCGATCAATCAATTAATCAAAGTTTATTTATCAAATGGACAACAATACAGCATGCAGCAGTAGTTGCTGGCAATGAAATATCTTTTCTGTGAGCTCATGGGAGGGGGTAAAAATCACAAAATTAAAGTTACAAAATAAGATTACATAATAATACCTAACAGTGCAATAGAAATTGAATAAAATAAACTCAGACAGAGCTCAATATGAATAGAGCTGCAGTGTGTCCACGGTGTATGCAATACATTATGTCCAAGTAGTGCAGTATGCCGAATACAGATCACAAGATGTTAATAACTGGCTGTTGCTTCTCCCAGGTCTTTACCAACAGAGATATTCAAGAAACAAAAAAAGTGCCTGTGGGTCTCACTGGAAGTTGTTATTCTGCACAGTTTTTCTGTAATAATGCCTTTAAGACACTGGTCTATGTCCACAAAACATTTTTCATAATAGTTGTATGATGGCAATATCATAAGAATGACACATTCATACATTACATCTACAAAAAAGACTACGTATTGGGAGCTCTTGTACTTAAACCTTCATGGCTCCACCCATCCATCCATCCATCCATCCATTCATCCATTGATTATCAGAGATGTTCATGGTCAGGATAAACCTGAAGCCAACACCAGGAGCACAGGACACAAGGCAGGAATGCACCCTGCATGGGATACAGGGCATACATACTGCACACAAACACACGAGGGAGATCTGGAAACAGTAAACACACTATCCTAGCCGGCACATCTTTGGGTGGTGGGAGAAAACTGGAATACCCAGAAAAATCCTATGTGGACAGAAGGAAAACAGACAAACTGCAGCCTGGAATCAAACTGAGGATCCAAAGGCTCTAAGGCAGCCTCACTATCCATCAGGCCAGAGT